AAAATGAAATACTAATGATCAGAATTTTAGATTTCATGTTAAGATAATTGTAGGAATAGAACCAAATTATAAAATTGAAAAAAATAAAAAAAACAAAAAATAAAAGAACATTGCTTGAGGAAGATTTGTGCTAATTTATTAGCAGCATTTTTTTTATACATATATTAATTGCGATCTTCTTTAGTCAGTTATATTTGTCTAATAATTACGTTATTATAATTATTTGTTGTAATGAATTTTGATGAAAACTACATTAGGGAACACGATTTGAAATTAAATTTTTATCAACACATTAAAAAATAGTTTACCATTATAGAGGTAATTTTAGTAATTCTTTATATAAATTTATTGTATGAGATTCATTATTGAGTATAAATTTAACAATGTTTCTCGGTGCTTCGCATCAGTTAAATTTTTATATACATTTTTCATTACAGATCAACATGTGCAACAAACTAAAGTATTCAGTACTTAAACCTAACTTTTTAAAATACAAGAGTTCAACTAAACAGATAGATAAATAGGTAGGTATTAATTAAATAACTAAATTCATATACAAAATGAAAATTTTTTAAACCAACCATAAGCTTATAAACTTAATTTTTTCATGTTTAATTTGGCAGCTTAAAAATGTTATGTACGCGTGGAATTTTTACTAAAAAACAATCAAATAAGTGTACTAAAGGATCTCTCAAACTGCTATCTTTAAAAAATAATCAAGATCTGATGATCAACAATAAATAAAGGTCAGAAATTTTCATCAGTAAGTTTGCTTATATGTAGTTATTTTTAAGCAAATTTTCTTCCATATCACTTTTATTTCAAACTTTTTCCTTGACGTTATGGAGCTATGTGTCACGCTCGCTTGCACAAGTATTGAAAAATGGATTTACCTGGATAATCCGGCGCATCATAGTAGTCATGGGAAGAGCCGTGGGGCACGGGCTCTTCTTCGTAGTCATAGGCCGAAGCTGCAGCTCCGTATCTTGACGATGGCGGCGGTGGATACATCTCCTCGCTGAAAATAGAGAAGTGGAACGACATGTTGGAGAAATGTATTTTATAAGCATGACACGATTTTACAATTTATAACAATTGTGCCGTGTTATATCGAATCGTGGTAATTTTACAGATTTAAATGGTTTTTTTTTAAATATTTTTATTTGGATTATGTGGTTGACTAAAATTTGATTTTTGAAAGTAAAATATGCTAATACAAGTCAATAAAAACTATTATTTTAATGGATGTGTCAGTTAATAGTAGAAAGTTGCGCTTTAATTTTGATCCAAATAGTGAATAAAAATTTGATGGTGATTAATCTAACTTAACCGGATTAATCAATTATTTCACTCATGATAATCAGACATGAAAAATAATAAAATTAACCGCACAAAAGTACTATGTACAAAAACAATATTAGATATAACTTAAACATGCGTATGCTCCATAATTAGTTTCAGTAAAGTTTAGCAAATAATTCACTTCCTGCTCATGAGACAGACACAATGCATCAAGCCCACTACTCCCGTTTCACTGGACTTAACTGAAACTAATTACGAAGTCGACGCACCAAGGAAAAACAATAATTCTATGGAAATACTGAAATTTTCAGTGGATTCACGAGACATGTGGATTAATGTTTCTGTGCAATAGTTTTGATGGATGAATCGCTCTCCACTTTAACACTAAGCATGAAAAAATAACTAATTTAATTCGGAAATGTAGGTAGGTATATTTTATTTCGACTGGTATACAACATGAATTTTTTCTACTACTAGGGGGCTGCGCCCCTGGCATGCTCCACACACCAATCTTCAAAATTTAACCAAACATTTATTTTCTATATTTTTAAAGAAAAATACAATAATTATATCTTTGTCGTAATACGTAATATTACAATCTTTCTCAACTTACAAATTTAAACGACTTTTCACAGATTTTTCAAAATCTCATTTTCAAATCCACCCGCTATATCACATGACCCATCGTTTTTTTAACATAGGAAATATTCAATAAATCGATTATATAATCACGATTTACCCACTTTTTACTATGGGCAAAAAGGCACTAAGTACAAACATGAGCGCCCGAAGGGAGTGGTTGTTTGTGTTTGTGCTCTAGTCGCGTATGTTGTTTTTCTTTACCGTGGGCGTTAAGTGCAATTCTGTGCCCGTATGCACACTTTGGTCCCGTGAGTGCAAAGTAATTACGAGGGCACAAAGTGTGGCTTGAGGGTGCAAAGCAACAGTTGCACTTTGTGCTCATGGTAGGAAAATGTGTTTCATGGTGTTAGTAATACAAATTTGTCATTTTTCCAAAAGTCTGTCTGTGTGGGTATATAATTAATGATTAATTACATATCATGCCTTAGAATTTAATTGATTTTACAGATCCAGGGCTTTAAATTTTTGTTATTTTTGCCTAATAGCACTCGGGGGGAAAAAACTCATACTTTATATCTTATTTCCGTTATTATTATGGTTTTTCGATATTTAGAAATTAGCTGTTTTATTAGCAAATTACTCAAATTTTCTTGAAGATAAGACCTCCATCTGTCGGTAGATTTGTACTTTATTAGGCCTTAACAATAGTTTTTTGAATTAAAAAATGAAATACTAATGATCAGAATTTTAGATTTCATGTTAAGATAATTGTAGGAATAGAACCAAATTATAAAATTGAAAAAAATAAAAAAAACAAAAAATAAAAGAACATTGCTTGAGGAAGATTTGTGCTAATTTATTAGCAGCATTTTTTTTATACATATATTAATTGCGATCTTCTTTAGTCAGTTATATTTGTCTAATAATTACGTTATTATAATTATTTGTTGTAATGAATTTTGATGAAAACTACATTAGGGAACACGATTTGAAATTAAATTTTTATCAACACATTAAAAAATAGTTTACCATTATAGAGGTAATTTTAGTAATTCTTTATATAAATTTATTGTATGAGATTCATTATTGAGTATAAATTTAACAATGTTTCTCGGTGCTTCGCATCAGTTAAATTTTTATATACATTTTTCATTACAGATCAACATGTGCAACAAACTAAAGTATTCAGTACTTAAACCTAACTTTTCAATGTCAACCACCAAGTTGAATGTAGAAAAATAGTCATCGATACTTCAGACTTTATTGGATATAAAAAAATGGTACATTACCTCACTAGAGCACAAAATACAAACACGAGCACCCCAAAGGAGCAGTTGTTGTATGTTTGTGCCCAAATCGCGTATATTATTTTTCTTACCCAGGGCGTGAAGTGATTGCAAGATTGACAGTTACACTTTGTGCCCATGGTAAGAAAAATGTTTGTCCATCACCCTAGTGAATAATTAAAGGAGCAATTTAAAAATTAATACCTGTACGCTACTAATTTATTACTAACCCATTTAAGTTCTGACATTCTCTGGAGTGCTTATACAGTGTCCATTACTTACATTGATACGTTTACTATAATAATTAACTGTGAAATCCATGTTACATTAATTAGACATTTTTAATGCTTTTTTAAAAATAGCAGTTTTTGTCGTATACATGCCATCGTTTCCGGTGCCATTTTGCGGCCCGAGGGAGCTGCGAAGCAGGACCCAAAGGATGTAAGGTAACCACGGTGTGATGGCGCTTACGTGGTAAATCCTATTTTTCCTACCGAGGATACACCAGCCTCTTAAAAACGCCCGAGGTAGGAATAATAAATTTTCCTACCTTAGGCATTTTTGAGGGTCGCGTGTGCCCAAGGGGTAGGAAAAATAGGGTTCGCACCTGGTGTGCATCAAACCAGGGCTAACACAAGGAGTCCCTCGGGCCTGGTGCTTGCCCTGGTGACATGTGCAACCAGGTACGAGAATTACCATTTCGACATTTGAGGAATGTCGCGCGACTGTACCTAAATTTTTTGGTAAGGGGAGGTCAACGATGGCAAATATTATTTTTCACAAACTTTTGTTCCAAAATCTGTAAACAGAACTTTTAAAATTTCTGTTACTGCAAGGTTTTATTTCAATATTTATATCATATCTTTTTAAATAACATTCTTATTTTTAGACTATATGCGCATACTAACTAGTTCATCGTACAAACTACTCCGATACCCAGATGCAAACAAGAAAATTTTTTTAAATTTCCATGCAAGTTAATATCTCACCATTAAGCCAATGCGAGCAATTTTTTCACGTAAAAAAATAAACAGCGTAAAAAAAATTTCAAGGTTCAATGATCAGAGTAGAGTATTGTATTAAAATAAGAAACAAGATTTTCAAAAAGAAAGGAAAATATATCACTCACCAAGTTAAGCAATTCTTTAGAAACTTATAACCCAAGCCTTATACGTCAGCTGATGTTGGAATCAGCTTGGCCTCGTTTTAACTCAAAAAGTGAGATAACGAGAGCCCAATCACCGAAGAAAGAAAACATCCACTCTGATTGATTACAAGAAACCGCTATGCTCTCACTATACATCTTCCCGAGCTATATTGAGTAAATCTTTGTTTGTTATAAACTTTTTGGTTGAATTCGCAGCTCATGCAAGAGTTGAAGATGGCAGCGCGCATTTAAACGGAAGGGACGCCGTCAACATTTTTTGACTCGAGTACGTAAAATTTTGAATACATTTGGCATCAGGTACTTAAAATTTATGCAGTGTGAAAAAATCTGATTTTGATATGCAGTCTTTTAAAAAAATTTTTAACTATCTTTATTATTTTTCAATTCAAGAAATTGTAAAATCAGCGAATAGTGCAAGTTTCGTTAAGTTCGTAACATTAACGTTTACTGAAGGTATGACAAAGTTTTTGTACACGTTTGAACTTTGATACACGGTTCTAGGAAGCATTGACCACACAGTTGACTAAAAGATTGCATTATATATTAAATTACAAAAAAAAGAAAAAAAAAAAAAAACTCGCGGCTCGAGGGGAAGCACTTACCGACTTTCCTGTAGCCGCTGGTGACACCGAGGAAGAGGAGCAGCAGCAGCAGGGACGGCGATGCCGGACCCCCCGGTCCGCCCCGTCTTTTACGGACCATGGATGAACGGTCCCTGGAAAAAAAAGAGGGAAATTTTTGTAAAATAATGTACACCTTTTACTCCTTTTTCCGTTCATTTGGGATTGGCGAGGTGATGTTATTTTTTTTTTTAACGAATTTATGTTCGATTGCCGAATACAGTCGGTGCTCGTGGGTGGAATTGCATTGGGACCAATTTTATTTGCATGGCAGAGTGCAATTGATGTCTGATTCTGATGTATCGAGTCCGTTAGTTCAAGTTTACAGTGGGTGTTTTTCAAAC